ATAACATTGTAAGCATGTCCCCAGCAAGGACCTATCTTGGGGTCGACATATTACCGTAATGACCGTACACAAGGCGCACCGGATTTTAAGGCGCGCCGTGAGCTTTTAAGAAAATGGAAGTCACATACTGAACGGTGGCTTGCACACAGGTGACTTCTTTCCAAAAATAAAAGCCAATCTCCATTTTTTAGTTTCTCAACTAAATTAACAAGACAGTATGAACATGACAGAGAATATATTTTATTTTTTCCATCTACTGAAATATTTTCAGTCTATAAGGACACCCTTTCAATGTACCATCAGATGTTGGGGGGAAAAGAAACTAGAGATTTTTTTGTCTTAGCCTGCAAAAACAATTTTAGACACTTAAAAGCTGTTTGGAACTGGTGAAAAGCCGTCTGAAATCTGAAGCTGCACCATTGCCTGTGCTGCAGTGAACAGATGAAGAGCATGGTGTCAAGTCACCATTTGGTTTGTTGTTTGCTATAACTGGAATTCGTAGAGTCCATTCGGTAGAGCCTAGCCTTGTTAACTATTCTCGGGTGAACACGTGAAAAAAATATTTGTGGAGTGTTTGTTTGTCTACCTGTTTGGCTAGTTTTGGCATATATCCTGGTTCCAGAGGGATCTTGAACAGATGGTGGGTGCCATTATGAATCTGGAGGGCTTGGCACTTTCATTCCTGCTGCTGTGACTCAAATGGTGAAAACAAATTCCTGCATTCGCACTCATGTCCAGATATTTCAAAACATGTCATGAGTTCTTCCTTGTCCTACAACAGCCTCCACAAAGTTTTATAGAATTAGATTTTGGTTTTATTACCAACTTCTGTTGACTCTGTTATTATTTCATTTTTGCAGATGGGGTCATTCAAACACTAAGCTAGTGCTTGCCCAAGACATTGGAACAGTACTATGCATACTATTGTGTATAATCACATACAAATTTAATGCTGTGTGAATGTCTTTCATAAATCACGCATGGAAAAAATGAAGATTGAACAAATAAATAAATAAATAAACAATATTGAAAGGGCACATATTTAGTTGTCAAACAAGTCTTATTTGTGGCCGTCTGCCTGGACACACTAATACCAAACTAAGATTTTTTTGTTTACATTTAATTAGAACCCAAATTAGCATTCCTTTGTTTGTTGAGAAGCCGATCCAACAAATCAAGAACAGCACGCGGCAAATAAGGCAGCACAATGTTGTTTTCTGTTCAAGGCAACAATGAGGTTATTTGTCACAGCTAAAGGAGCCGTGATAGAACTATGGCCACTTTATCAGATTAAAAAACAACCAACCAAACAAAAAACAAACAAACAAACAAAAAAACCCAACAACAATTGCAAATTGACATGAGATTCAAGGATTTTAGACAGAACCCAAAATCTGGGGATTGGAATTGTTTAATTTGGAAGTTCTTGGATATGTTGCATCTCCTCTCTTTGTAAATGACAGTTATCAATATCAGACATGTTATAAAGTTCATCTAATTATCGATTGAACTATCGGTCTGTCCGTCTATCAATCTATTTGTCGATCTATATACACACACACGCACACACAAATATATATATATTACATATAAAATTTCATTTTTGTTATTTCATTTTTGCATATACTATATATATATATTTTTCATTTTTGTTATTTCATTTTTGCATATAATAAAACTTTCCTTCCATCCATATGTACTACTTACATTTACTTAATTAACAATAAGAGTTATGTAAAATATTGGATGAATACAATGTGTTTTGAGTAAACTTGACAAGTTAATGTATTCAACATTAACAAAACCAACATGTTTAAAATCGAGACAGGCGCCCAAGTTTCTGACAAGCAAGTTGCATTACCACTTGTGACTGACTGGAAATGTGGAATTTTATCGATAATTACATGTTTTAGCATCATGTTACTTCCTGTTTTGTATTTTTAAAAGTTTATCATTTGTTTTCAAATCTTTAAATGGCCCCGCCCCACCTTGCCACTCTGAGCTCCTCCAGCCCCAAACGCACCTGCATCCCAGACACTATTCGAGGTACCAAGAACTAAGCGGAGGCTCAGAGGGGATCGAGCCTTTTCCATTGCCGGCCCCTCTCTTTGAAATGACCTTGCGCTAAAAGTTAGGCAAACCCCCCCGGTGCCCATCTTTAACCAGCAGTTACTACAGTGGACAGCTTATCATGTTATCAAGTTACAGGGTGCACGAAAGGGTTAAAACTTGCTTAAAACTCATTTTTATTCTTTGGATTTTGACTCAGATGAGACTTGGTTTTAGTTTGACTATTTTCGTGCTTTTTCCCATCTTCATGATTAACTTATTGCTTTTATGACTTATTTTTGACCCATGTACAGCAATTTATATACAGCGGTGGTTGTTTTAAAGTGCTCTTTACAGCTGAATTGAGTTCTGCTTTTTTGTAATAGTAGTTGTGTGTGTTATTACTTCTTATGTATAACTTTGTGGCATCGTTACTTCATTTTGTGTTCAGGTTAAAGACTCCCCTGACCATTCACTTGCCTATAATGCATTATCTTTGATGCTCCTGGCTACAGTTGGCTCATAGAATGAGCATGATCGTCTCGTATTTCCAAGTTCCCCTGAGAACTGCATGGGTTTGAAAGTCTTCCTTGGTTGTTCTTGACAATTTCAAATGCCGTTGACAAACAAGTTACATTACCACTTACGAGTGGAAATGTGGAACATAGACTGACTGAAGTGATTATCTCAACCTAATTGTCGGTGCTATTCCGGTGCACCTTTGAGGCCAGCGTAACGACGAGTCTTAAACGCAAACAACACGACATTGACTTCTTTGTATTTTCTGTTTATTAAAAAATAAAGTATACAAAAAAGTTCTCTTCAGTTTTTCTAATTCGTTTGTCTGTATTGTATGTATCGTATTGTATGTCTGAGTTGTACGGTCAAAAAACTGTATCGCTTCTATCTTGAGCTGGCCTCATCTCTCTCTGTCTCTGTCTCTGTCTCCACACTGTCTTCATCCGCAAGTCGCGTGACGTCACAACAAATAGCTCTGCAAAAGAAACACTCAGAGATGCACAAAACAACAATGACGACCATTTCCAAAAAGCTGGGAAATATGCCGACCGGACATATCAATACCACAGCAAATGGAACACACAAAATTCGACCAATGTCAAATTGGCACCTACACTAATGGAAAGCATTTTCAGGAATTTTACAGAGATTAATTTTGGTTAATCCACAGCCTGCCCTATTTAAATGCTGTTCATTTGTTTTAACTGATTATGATTTCATTGGTTTTGAAAGTTGGAGTTCGATGTGAATTTTCAGGAATCTAAATAAATCCATTCATGATAAAATGGTATGTTTGAAATCAAATTAAATAGATGAAAATACATAAACGATGCTATTATTCGTTTTTCTACGTGATTAGTAAATTGAGAACTGAATATCTTTTGCAATGTCCACCCTGCTGCAAAGTGTCCTGGGGAAAGGGCGCTAACAAATATCCTCTTGCCCTTTGGTCTCTTGAAAACTTTTCTTCTCTGTTTCGGTTGGAGTGTTCTGTTGAGGAGAATCTATTCATATAATTAACCAAAAATTAAAAAAGGAAAAAGATTTTGACTGTATCAGCTCTGACTGTTAAGATTATATTAGCCTTTCAAAGAATTCAACCACATTTTCGAGAAAAAAAAAATCCTTCTTACACAATGGCACAAATACTTTAAAAAGTCACCGTGGATGATTATCAAATTAGGGCGATGGCAGCAAAACATGTGAGGATCTAAATTATTTATCCCTTTTCTATGGCTTTGTGTGTGTGTGTGTGTGTGGGGGGGGGGTGTTATGGGCAGAGACTCGTCGCTCGTACACAGCAGTCCTCCCGTTTGTACGTTGTATGCAGCGTTTAACTGATTGTTGTATATCAATCAAGGATCCGAACTGCTTTATCCTCACGAGGAACGCGGGCGTGCTGGAGCCTATCCCAGCCGTAGCCGGCCAGTGACTTGGGACACCCTGAACTGGTTGCCAGCCACTTGTAGACAAACAATTATTCGCGTTCACAATCACAACTCGGGGCAGTTTAGAGGGTTATATTAACCTACAATGCATGTTTTTGAAATGTGGGGAAGAGACTGCAATACCCTGCGAAAACCCAGGCAGGCTCGGGGAGAACACACAAGAAGGCTAACCAGTCTACACTGCGCCGCTCCTTATTGTTGTAGATTTAAAAAAAAAAAATTCAATTTAAGAGTGTAACAATGCCACTTATAAAATCGCCTGTATGGTTAAATAACTTTGTTTGGCCACCGTTTAATTCAATTCCCGTCAAAAAAAGGGGGAGGGGGTGTGTGTTGAAATGATTCCGGTGTCACTGAACTGACTGTGGTCAGTTCCTAAAGTTGCAGTACAGCTTCAATAAATTGGCGCACCGAATTACCCACGCATTAAAATGTTACATTTCAGAATTAAGAATTGAGCACCCCATCGCGCATGCAGTCAAAGAATCAAGCGCGCAGTTTTGTTGCTGCGTTGGATACAAACATTTTTGTTCACCTCAAAAGAGAGGTGAGAATATATACCACTGACCTTTTATTTCATAAAAAGAATCATAATAATAATAACATTAAAAAAACTTCTGAAATGTATAGGAATAATAAATGTCTTCAACTGAAAACATTTACACCGAAAAAAGTACCTAATTTCTCGATGCGTGATTTAAATATGTCAAGCAGACGTAATCCCCCCGTTTCTCTTCGAAAACGATCGAATTAGATATATGTAACACATTTGTTACATGCAACGGTTTTTTTCAGTATACTCTGGGAAAAAAAGATCGTTTGGATTTACTTAATTCGAACATGTACATCGGCTGGACGTATTTAAAATGCGGTAAACCAAAGCCCTTTTCCCGTCTTTTCCTCAACAAATGGTAAGTGCTACTTAAATCCATTTTAATCATGTGCAATCGAAAATCACTGTTCACTGTTAGACGACATCATAAGTAGCACATCAGTCTCAGCTTTTACTTTATACATTTGTCTCTTGTCTACAAACAAATCATGAGAAAACGGAAAAGGTGGTCATGTACAATGAATATTGGCATTATTGTACTGGCATCCACTCAGCTGAATTAGTAATGAAACTTCAGTTATTAAAAATCCCGAGACATTAACAGTCGTTTTTACTTAGTTGACAGGGTATGAATTCTTCGGACAAAAAAAGGAATTAAAAGTGCATGGACAGAACAGAACCCAGCGAATTAAGTGGTCGTACTAAGTGGTTATAAGTGGGTCATGATGGAAAAACAGACCTTTAGTTTGTCACAAAGAGTGTCTGGATTAATCCCTTTATTTTGAGACAAAAAGAGGGGAGCGGTTTTTTTTTTTTTTTGTCGTCCTTGTTGTTGTTATCAATTCATCAATGTTATACATAATACTCCCGGTAAAGCATCACTCCAAAATGTGCATTTGCTTTACAATCATCAAAGCTCCATATATGACAAGTCTCGCTGAAATAAATTGAATATGTAACCTATATTTAAATAGATTGATAAATACGCAATGATAATTCAGGATGTAAACCTTCGAAGCGCATATCCCAAAGTTAAATTGAAATTCTGAAGCCAAATCCCATTAAACCCGCTATCGGAGGGCTACCTCTTTCTTTGTTCGAAATAAGGGGTGGGGGGGGGGGGGATTTGCAAAGATGGCGCACGCTGCAAATCATTTATAATAATTATACTAATAGTGTCGCAATTAGCATGTGAAAAAAAACCTGAACAAACCTCCCAAACGCAAGTCAAGAAAGATACACCAAACATGGCAATTTTTGCTGACAATAAATAATAAATATTATTTTCCATGGAAACAAAGACCTAACGTATATTTGACTTATTACGTGAGAGGTATACACATCTTTGGAAAAAGAAAACAATTTTCTCGGGCGACCCGAACTCACACAAATGTCCCACGAAGCTTGTGACGAAACAGAGGTATACCTTGTTGCAAATGCTTTAGTACTTGGATCATGAAAGAAATCATGAAATAACAAGAAGAAAACCCGTGCTGCTTTCCTCCGGGGCAGGTGTGAGGGGGGGGGGGGGTTGCTGATTTTTCGAATGAAAAAGAAAAACCTTCACTTGGATGTTGCGCACAGCAGCTCGCAAATCGAGATTGAGTTCGACTCCCACTCAGAGGTCCGAAAATGTCACAAAGGAGCCCGGTTTGCGTCTTCTCTTTTGGCAATTATAATTATTAAATAAATAAATAAATAAATATGAACAAACAGCGTCGGCTTGAGGGTTGCAAGTTTCTCTCCAGCGTGGATTTGAGAATTGGGTGTCGATGGTAAATATCCCATGATTGTCTTCACAGTGTCAAAAAAATAAAAATAAAAAAATACAACCCGTTTGGTTGTTTGGTGCAGTCTGGAGGGATGAAATGAACATAGGGAGGTTCAGTCTGTCCAGACAGACTCGGACTCAGGTCTCAATGGGACTTGACACCATGCTGTTCGGTGTGTCTGGAAGCTGAGATGACATGGACGCTACCTCGCTGCCAGTTGAGTTCGAACCCGGTCCACCCTCCGAAAAACTAACCTGTGGAAACCAAGCATGCTGTGAGAATCCTCGCACCCGACTGGGGGAAGGTGACACATAGTGCGATGCAAATTGGAAAGGAAGGCAACTCGCACGCTTATCACGACTACTACTCCGAATAATAATAATAATAATAATAATAATGATAATAAATCAACAGCAGCGGCATACACTTTTAAAAAGCATTGCGTGTTCATTTTACAAGGACTTTTCCCGTACACCCACACAATTCTGTGAAAGCCAACGTCTTTACTGTCTGTTCATGTTACAATAAGTTATCACCGTACATACTAAAATGAAATCACTTAATATAATAATAATAATAAAACATAATAATAATAATGACAATAATAATAATAATAATAATAATAATAATAATAATGAACAACGATAACCAAAAAGCGAAAGTCCATAACGCTTGCATCCGTCTTGTCGCTTGTATTTTTAAACAACCAGTTCCGTATTCCTAATAAATATTTTGACAAGCCTTTAGTTAAGGACGATTTGGGTTAAAATAACGATGCCTGCTTCATACATGAAAATCAAATAATTTCACCTCAATACGGAGCGCATTTGGGATTGCGTTCAATTTAGATCTCGCACGAGCCACGGAAGACACTGCGTTGCTGACTAAAAGATTTAACGTGATTATTTATATAACATCTCCAGAGGTAATCGAAGGTTCGTTGTCTGGCTGGGCAAGTAAGTAAAAAAGACGTTCGTCTGAACGAACAAACAATCGCGAATAACCAGAATAAATTGTTATGTGTAAATTCAAACACATTCGATTATATCGAGAGGAGCTATATGCATGCTGAACATACATGCGTATTATTTCTTTGAACTGAACCGGATAAAAATGAAAACATCACGCACCAGTTGCTGAAAAGCGGGCTGGTCGATGTCGCTCTGCAGAGCAAAATCGCTGAGGACCTTCCAGGGCGGCTGGTAGCTTTGCACCTCCACCGGGTTGGCTTGGATGCCACCGTCGTGCCGTTCCGGACTGGCCGCCACCATCGGGGTGCCTGTCATTCCCTGGATGTTCTGCAAGAGGGATGCTCTCTCTGCTCAGAGTAGATTCACTGCAGGTGATTTGATGACTGTGGGTTTGGTTACTGGGTGTGGTTATGCTCGTTAGTGTGCGTGTGAGCGCGCGCGGTTTGCACCGCCGGTGGGGAGAGGAGAGTTACCGGAAATTAATCCCTTCTCAGTCAAAACAATCAATAAACCCACAGACAAACAAATATGTCAACTCAGCGAGACGCTATTGGAAGTATAACCAACCCGCCGCATGCCATCGCCGAAAGCAATTTTCATTTTAGTTTTTCTTAAATTAATTACTGTGTTCGTTCACGGCTAAGGTGCCAGCTGCAAGAAATAGAAAAAAAAAAAAACATTTTAAATGTGTGACAGTAACGCGTGTGTTCCGAGTGACAGTCGTTTTACTTAAATAGAGAATGGGAAGTATTCAGTGTTCTTTGGGCGTGAAAGGCTAGGTAGGGTTGAATGAAACCTTCCCTTACCGTCTTGTCGTTTGGCTGCTGCTGTTGTAGCTGCTTCATCAGAATACTCCTCTTCTTGTCTTTGCAGCGCTTGTTCTGAAACCAGACCCGGATGACGCGCGGGCTCAGGCCGGTCATCTCCACCAGCTGCTCCTTCATCAGAGCGTCGGGCCTCGGGTTGGCGTTGTAGCAAGTTCGCAAAGTGTGTAGTTGCTTCTCGTTTAGTACTGTCCGAACTCGCGTGGTCTTCTCTGGCTGTTTATGGATGTGGGGCCGAAGTGCAGACTGTCGAGCGGAGATGGGCTCTGCTGTGAGAATGGACGGGTTAAAAAACCCAAAGAAGCACACATCAGTTTGAATCACGACAATCCAAGCAAATAGAGATTTTATTCTTTTACAGGAATTCATGACATTTCATTCTTAATAAGCAATGACCACTTTAACCACAATCGGGAAAATGATACACGTAAGAAGTTCAAGTCTTGCTTGTTTTGTCTGTCTTAGTCAAGTGAATGCTGTCTCAGCCGGCTGATTCTTTTTGTCAAATGTACACGTTCTTCAGTTGCATCAAGACATGTTTTTAAAAATCGCGACTCGTTGCGTAATCGTATTTTTTCACTTATATCAATTTAATTTCACTTGTTCGACGCTATAATAGCCACTGTTCAAAACCATCCGCAGCTTTGCTTAATCTCATTCGGACCGAGGGTGGTCTGGACCTATCCCGGCTGACTTCGGTGAGAGGCGGGGTACACTCTGGACTGGTCGACTGTTCAGAACCAAAAATGTAAAATGCAAGCGCAAGGAACACATGCGCGCGCGCACACATACACACGCAAACAAACGCGGACACGCGCGCGCACACACGCGCACACTCACACGCGGACACTAAAAAACGCAAACATATGTAACCAACCGCATCCGCATTTTTTGGGTCACAGCAAAACCCTATGGACCGTATCAAATGTGTCATGAATGGATAGTCGTGGTGTTTGTTTTTATCAAGTCAACACCAGAGTGGCCAAAATTGCATCGCCTAAAAAAAAAGAAAGAAAACTAATAAAATAGCAGACCGGCAGGAAGCGCACCCCCGGACTCGTCAAAAGTGAATAGTTGGAAAGCTCCTTGTCGGGCTGCCTCCCACCGCACGGACTGGACTTTACCTGCCATTTGTAGCGGTCTGGCGGGGTGCAGCGGACTAAGCGGGTCTCCGTGTCCCAGAGTAGCCCGCTCCACTACGTCGTGGTCGGCCCGGCAGAAGAGGCCGTCTTCGCGCAGAGCGAACTCGTCCCCCGGGATGAGCTGTCTGCTGCAGGCCACACAGCGGAAACATTCGATGTGGTAGACTTTGGATCGGGCCCTCATTACAAAGTCGTTCTTGCTGAAACCGATGCTGCACTTAGCGCATTTAATCCCGTATAACCTGCGAGACAAACCAAAACGTGCATAACAATTAGAATCGACAATTATTAACAGCAAGGATACGTTTGTAATTTTTTTGCCCAATGTTTAAATGCCGTCCATTCTTATTTTTTTATTCATGACCGGGCCTAAAATCACTTGTTGGATTTGTAGGTTTTAAAGATGGATAGGCAGCTGGGATAGACACCAGGGCGCTCGCGACGCTCATGAGGATAAGCAATTCGCATAATGGGTCGATGGGTGTTATACTATAACTACTGTTGTTATAGTTTAGTTATTATTATATTACAGCAAGAAACAGCCAGTGTAACGAATTGGAGTGGAAATATAGGTCTGAGAATAATATTTGAAACCATTTTAACGCATGGCAATATTGGAATTTATTTCAAATCTGTTTGGATTACACTGCACCTCCGGACATGGCTGTAATTAAGTGAAAGCCCAGCCGTGGTCATCCTACCTGATGTAGTCCCGTTTACAATATGTCTTTCCGTCTCTGACGAAGCACGTGCACGACTCGTCCAAGTACTGACTGCACTCGGCGCATTTGAGACAGGCGGCGTGCCATTCCAGATCTGGGGAGACCCGCAGGATGTACTGGTCGTGGATCTGGTTTCCGCAGCCCACACACAGAGACACCAGCCGTTTTTCTAGAAGACCGTTGTGAGTAGAATGATCAGTATGAATGTATATTTGGATCGTGGTTAGTATTAGTACAGTGGTTAAACTTGAAAAGAAATACTGGACAAGTTTGATTGAAAATAGAATAAAATAAAAGAACAATTCCGTGTCGCAAAAAGTTGACTAAAATGAAAATAATTGAGTTCAAGCAAGTGGGCGTCCAACTTACTTTTCGGCGGATCCCCCATGTCTCCCATGCTGACTAAATAAAGCGGCGTTAGGTCCACGGTCAGAGCGGGCTGCAACGCCTGGACTCCTTGATGTGTCTTCTGTTGCCGGGCCAGAGGGGGCTACGCCGTCCGGCTCGGAGATGGAGTGCGTGTGTGCGCGTGTGTGTTTGTCCACGGTGTGTGTGAAACTCCGGTGCTGGTGGGACTGACGTAGGACAACAGCACGTCATCTCCATGCCCAGCTGATTGGCTCTGCAAAGTCCCGGCAGCTCTGCGCACACCGCCCGGCACCCCCCAACACAGTGGCACACTTGGTGGGCTTCTCAAAATCATTTGTTTGTTGCATTTCCTTCTTTTACCTTTACTATTGTAAACCAAAAGGGTTCAAGTTTATATGCAACGGCCTACTTCAATGATAGTGGAAACGTGGAGTTATCCAATCACGAATGTGTTCAAACTGCAGGTTCAGATTTCTTTCTTTCTTTCTCTTTCTTTATTTCTGAATCAATCAACCGATGTAAGATTAAAAAAAAAACGCTTTACTCTTTACTGCGAGCCATTCTCTTATCTGGTAATTTCTTTACTTTTTTGAGGGGGAAGGGCATTCCTTTGACGCCGCTGCGTGGACGCTCCAATATTTTCGGGGCAACAAAACGTATGGTGTGCAGTGGGCGATCACAACTCGACAGCTGTGGACTCGGGCAGTGACAGGCCTGTGACAAGCACGCGCGCGAGCACGCACGCAATTACACAAAAACAAACACGCCCTCTTGTGTTGGTAACCAACTAAGACCAATAACATATCAGCAGGAGGGCAAACCGTGCATCATTCCTTCGTTCTTTACACTTTCAGTTGGTAATCAACAATTAAAAAGTCACTATTTTGTTTTTTTTGTTTTTACTCCAGCCCAGATATTTCATATAGATCACGACGAGAAAAAATATATATTGAGATCCGAGCCTCAAATGTAAACATGAAAATTCTTAGTGTTTCCCTGTTTTTGTGAGTAAATATATAAATAAATGATCAGTCACCCTTTCCTTTTAAAAAAAAACAAAAACAAAACGATTGTTAATAGAAAATGGAACAAAAGACGAACGATGCACGGTTTGAGAGCACAAGTCATTCACAATGCTGTCCCCCATTCGGTTAATTATTCATCTCCAATGCATCAATTTGTATCTTTTCCAGACTATTGTTTTTCTCTACTGCTATGAGCAGTACATAAATAAAGATGTGTTCTATGTTTTGTATTGTAAAAACTGCATACATTTAGTCCAGCTTTCATATATCCCCTTCCAAAGAAGCTGCATTGTAAAAAAACAAAAACAAAAAAAAGTCTTTTTTTTAACATTTTGAATTGTTTAATCCTATTGTCTACTTGTAAAATTACAACACTTACAACATCTTACAGTCTTGCCAGATATCCATTACTTGAACTGTGCATGTACCTTTTGTCATAAAATGGGCAGACTGTATGTGTACAAAATTATTCACAAATGCTCGACGTTGTTCCCTAAATAATATCCACCCATTATCGAAACCGCTTCATCCTCGCAAGGGTCGGGCGTGCTGGAGCCTTTCCAGGCTGTCCTCGGGCAGTAAGCGAGGGACACCCTGAATTGGTTCCCAGCCAACAACTATTTACACTCACAGTCATACCCCTAAATAATATAAGGTTACAAATATAAAGAGTACCAATTTTTTCTTCATATGGTGATCTTGCAGCCACACTGTCACTGACCAGTCTGTGTTGCATAGAGCACTGTCGTTGTGGGGACAAAAAGGAAAACAACAAGAGCTTTTCCTTTAAATTTTCAAAGTTTGGGGAACATTGTCAAAGCAGATGGAATCAAGTGTTATTTGAGTGTAGAATTCATAATCATCCTCATTAGCGCTGGGTATGAGTTGAGATTTCTAAAACTGATGCGATTCAGGGGCCCAATTGGATACAATTTACGATTCACTTTGACTGATTTTTGATGCAGAATCAAAATCACACAGAAGGACAATTTAGAGTGTTCCATTAACTTGCCATGCATGTTTTTGGAATGTGGGAGGAAACTGGAGTAAACCTGGAGAAAACCCACACAGGCACGGGGAGGACAGGCAAACTCCACACAGGAAGGTCGGAACCGGAATTGAACCCTTGCAACTCTGTACTGTGAGGAGGATGTGCTAACTAGTCGATCACCGTGCCAGCTTACATTCATCATGTATGTTTTATTGAACATGATCTGATCAATATAAATAATGATTTTAATGAATTCCAACCACAGGGCAGGCTATTTAAAAAAAATGCAAAAACACACTGGAGAACTCATGACATTCACATTATTGTACTGTGAGTGTCTCACAAAATTCCAGTTTATTACTGCTTTCGACTTTTTGAAAACCCCGAAACTTCCACGTATCTGTGATCAGGCTTGTTAGCGCGAATTTCCCTGCTTACTTCTGGTTGTTTTTAATATGCTACACTCGTGTAGTGACACGAGGAATCACATGAATTTATGGGAAAAAGACGTCTTATGGTTTTATGAATCGATATGGGACTGTGAAAAAATTCGATTTGATTCATCGATTTTTTAAAAAACCCACCCTTAATATTCATACTCCTCTTCCTCTTCCTCCTCCTCCTGCTCCTTCTTGTCATCATCATCATCATCATCATCATCATTGTCATCATCATCATCATCATCATCATCATCCCACGTCGCTGTGATTTTTAGACCCTATAAATGTAACGACCAGGTGTCCCAAGCATACAGTAAAATGACAATAACTATTCAAGTAAACATTTTCAAAAGAATGTAATTTGCAGGGGACAACACTATGAAATGTTGTTCCACTTGAAATAGAAACACAACAGTCCTATTAGCCTCGGCTATGGTGGTGTCCAGGAGCTCAGTGGTGGCTAGAGCCTCATGTTGCAACACTTGCAATGACTCAGTGGGATATAGTTGAGCTACCGGAGGATTTCAGTACCGGTATTTATATTTTGTTAACTCAAATATATACGATTATGTTGGCATAAGAAAGCTGCTTGACGTACGCACATATTTAATGGACAGTTAACATTTGAGTGGTGTATGTTTTCTGCGCATTCAGCAGACACGCCCACAGCCTCTGAGAGCTGAGATAAGGGCTTGGTTTTTCGCTGCTTTGAAGGCTCATTTTATATACTTGGCAATATGTTTAATCATTCATTGATATGTTTGTTAACAACGCTGTTTCTGTGGTGTGTCATATTCATAGACATTTTTTTATTTTCAATTTAGAGGGATTTCAAGTTCTTATTCTATTTGGTACATTTTTGAGATACTATTAATCATCAAACTTAGGCGAAAGAAATCATCTGTGCGGCACAGGTAAAAATGGCCTGAAATGTTTGAATGTCAAAATTCTATTCAAAAATGGCAACCGGCAATGTCCGACAAAGAAAAGAAATCGATGATGCAGCTCTGTGCTTGACTCTTATTTTGACTACTCTCCTCCCATGTGATGAAATTTTCCTGCAGCCACGGCCTAAGGCTATGGTTGCCCTTGAGACTAAAGAAGACTGGCTGCCACCATCATGTTTAACTACACCTGACACATCATCACCCTTATTGTGCTTCCCAATCTGAACACATATACACAGAGTAGCAGCAACAGCAGTCCAAGGCAGCAGTGCTGGCATACCATCTGTCAGGCTGGTGTCAAGTGGCCCTTGTCTCCAGTGATTATGAAAGCTCCCACTGCCTCAGGTGGTCCGTGGACCAAGTCACCCATCTTAGAATGTCTAGGCCAGGCCATATGGTGGGGTGCAAGGGGCACCCAGGGGAGGCAGCACTCCTCCTTTTCCTGCAACCAGCAACACGCCATTCGCTGCCCACTAAAAGTGTCTGGATCTGAATGGGCAGGAAACGTCCTGACAGATGCCATTCACAGTATCTGCAAGAAGAGTCAAGCAGCAGCACAAAGTGAGAAGTTACCCAGGTAGTCACCATCAAAGCTCTGCTTTGACACTGAGATCTGATGTGAAAGTTGTGGAAATGGAGCCTGACGATCCTTTCCAACCGATTCTGAGTTGCATCGAATTCAGATGTTTCTTACACTTGAGTTAAATATACGGAAGGAATCTATGCGTTATCATTCAAAAGTTTGCATAGACATATTTTTACATTATTGGAGAAGGTTTTTATTTAAAAGAATACACTGTAGGTACATAAATATAATCTGAAAAGACACCTACTATAAGTGCTACACATAGTCTTTAATATAATATTTGATAATTATGGGCATTCAACCAATACCCCATATCATTTTGTCTTTTTCTAGTTTGAATTAAAAGTGATTAAGAATGCTTTGATTACCAAAAGCAGATCCCTAATCCTTCGCATGTTTCATCAGTGAAGTTTACTGAACTGCAGTTCTGTCTGCAACCCAAAGATGAGGCGGTGCTCCTGCAAGCATGTCTCAGAAGGACGACCATCTGCCATCTGGCTGACAGTGCAGATCACACAGATGTGAGCATTCACAATAAGTAAACAATCAACTCAAGAAACACGATTGATTTTTTTTTCTGCAAATATTTTAAATCAATCACTAACATCGTGTTCTAAATGATGATGATGATGATTTCTCTTCATCCCTCGCATGGTGGGATGCCTCCGAGTGGTGCGAGGGGGGGAACGCTGGGGCTCTTGGGCCCCAGACGCGGCTAAATACCCACCAGCCGGGGGGGAAGGAGGTGGGGTCTCACCGGAAGATGAGGTGCCCAGCGCTCGCCCCGCCGGAACGGAGGAGAGTGGCTGTAGCCGCCCCACAACCCTCCTTAAACAATAATCAGGCGAGGGCCCTTCCAGGGCCCACACTGGGTGTTAACCTCGCGAGGCACCAGCGAGAGTCGTGCCGGGTGTGGGACCCGGGAGGGGGGGCAAGTCCCTGACAGGGGCCGATTGCCCAGGAGGAGGAGGAGGATTTCGCTTCATAAATAGTCTACGCCAGGGGTGTCAAACTCATTTCACATGGTGGGCCACATACGGCCTGGGTAGATGTCAAGTGGGCCGGACCATTAAAATGATACCATACTTTGCTATAAATAACCAAAACAATATGTCTTTCCTTTGTTTTGGTATAAAGAAGCACAAGAACATTAGGAAAATGTTGAAATTAAATGAA